TCTCTTTACCACTATTAGTACTACTGCTGTGTCTAGTCGGCTGAAAGCCAAGGCTAGACTATAGAATCTTGCTTGCTTTTCTCAAGTGTTTGCTGAGGCTTGAGTGGACTCTCTGGCTGTTTTCTTGCTTTGTTTGTTCTGCTGTTTGAAAGTTGCAACTGGTATGTCTCCATAAGTTAAATAACATTCTCCAAAACTATGTGTTTACTTCTCCCTTTCACATGTCCCTCACTATATATTTGTATTGTGCTTTCCTGCATTCTGTAGCTATACTTTAGTCTGTTATGTTCTTTCTTCATGTTTCTGCACCTTTAAGTTCTGTTATGCTTCCTTGTCCTTCCTTGATGTTTTTCTATACATGCTTTCCATGTGAACCCTTTCCCTTTGACCCCTTATGTGTGAGTACTGTTCTAGGTTAGGGTAGCATCCCATTGCTATCCATGACCTGGGACCAGGTTCTCTTGAACCTTACTCAAATCAGTCCCATTCCCTTCTTCCCCCTTTATGTGCTGAGCCTTGACTAGAGTCTGGTAGTGTCCTAATCACCATCCAGGCTCAAGTCTGACTTTAAAAAGTCTGCTCTTTATTTGTTTGGATCAAGTAAAGGGTCAGGGATGTGTCAGCCTATACTCATGGCTGGGTATGACCACCCTTTGCTCTGATTCCCTCAACTCCCCTCACTTTACACTTACTCCTAGTTCCTTAAGTTCTGCCCCCCTTTGGTAAGCCATGCTTTGGGACCCTTGAGCTCCCTCTGAACTTGGATGCCTGAGGGATGGCATTTCCACACTACACTACTCTGTTGCTATTATAATTACTCAGAGTGTTAAACATTGCCTGGAGTTCTTAAGACTCCTTGGAACTTTGAAAACATTCTGAGTAAGGAGAAGGCCTTGGAACTGGAATCTGGATTTGGTGAAACACATGTGTTGGACATTAAGGTTGCATTGGGCTTCCTCGGATCTGTCTGTAGTTTTGATGTATTTATTTTTAGTCTTTTCCTTCCAGTTCTGTAATAACTTTGTAAAAGAAACTCGGGGAAAATATTAGTAAAGGGTGTGGGAGGGGTTTATGTTGCCTGCATAAATCAAAGGGTAGAGATCATGCCTATAGGTCTTTTGTGCTTTAAATTTTACTAGAAATCCTGCCTATAGGTTTGTTTAATGTTCCTAATTCAGTCACCTAGATACCATGCCTATAGGGTTTAACGTTTAATCATATTGCAAATCACTAGAGATCCTGCCTATAGGATTCTAACATTCATGTAATCAATTGCATATAGAAACCATGCCTATAGGAAATGCATATGCGTTAGGCAAACTATAGGGTAATTAAACATTCATCTATTTACCAACTCTTTAACAGGCCTTAAAATCAAGTATAGATACCATGCCTATAGGGTTTCGTCTCAAACCTGTCTGATTCGTTTAAGCAGTAACAGTCCGTTAACTGGTCCTTAATGTCTTGATGTAATGCTTTCAATAAAACTCTTGTAAACCAGTATGCTTTTTAAACTCTTCAAATCTGCATCTTTTCCTGAACAGTTCTTTTAAACATTCTGCCTAAACGTTTTACTCAGTCCCTGAAATTGTCTTTTAAAACAGTCCTGTAACTCACTCTTTTCTTAAAGATATTCTTGCCTTTGAAACTCTTTCACAACTCTTCTGCATTCCCTTTTCCTACTCAAACAATCCGCTGATTTCAAATTCGTTTATAAACTTACTGCAGTCTTTATTTTCTTTTAAACTCTTCTGCATTAAGACCTCAATAACTAACAATCAGATCCGAGGGGCTTGATGCAGACTTTTTATCCAACTTTATGTGTGTAACCGATTCGTCCGCCTCTTAATTTCTTAACTTTAAAGACCAAATCAGTACGTGCAAGTCATGCTAAACTAGTTGCTATGTGATTCAAAGGGGTTATGTGAAGCCTTTGTATGTTTGTTTATTCCCCATTACTTGCTACTTGTTTTGATTGACGCCCTAGTCTTTTTATCCTTTTGAAACTCCATATATGCCTCTATCCCTTTTCTCCCCCCCTCCCTTTTAGGATTAGAAGTCCTAATACCCCGGGACTGATAGGTCGGGACGGGTATTAACATGCAATAAGTAAACGAGACTAATCGCGTTTAATACCTTGACGGGGTGGGAAGGGTAGAATATGGATATGATGACCGGTGCGCTAATATCTCGTGTGAGAATGATTGCTGGGTATTGTACCAAGGTGATCCATATTGTATTTAAACCTAGGACCTTTTTCTTTATTTATACGATGTGATGTATTCTTAAAAGTAATGTTTTCTTCAATCAATCTTTTCTTTCCAAAACCGCTTATGTAGCTGTTGACGTCCGCAGCCCCATTTTCTCCCTTATCTTTGTTATTTATGATAATTCTAGACTTTGTAAAATATTAGTAAACTCTGTAATAGCTCATGACTTGTGACACCCCGATTTCGGGCTGAGTTGGGAGGGTTTTCCTTGTTCTATCACGTTTATTTCGCATTTAAGATTATATTGCCCATGATTTAGACTTATTCCTGCTAAGTAATTATAAAGAGATGTACTGTTTGTTGATTGACTGGCCTTGTCCTCACGAGAGGCGCCGTCACGACCGGGTTGGGATTTTGGGTCGTGACACTATTGCTATATCCAAAATCATATATGTATTCAAATAGCCAGAAACAACATCTCCTAGCTTCAGATTAACTAGGTGCTTAGCTAGTGTTGCTCTTCCTCTATTCTCTATTTTGTGTTTTTGCCTAAGTTTTAGTGTTAGTTAGAAAATTCAAAGTCTCATTAGTAGTTGAATATGTTAGTCTAATACAAGTTTCATTTAAAAACTAGAGGGATGTTATGGCTATGACATCTATTTTTTTAGCTTGACACTTTAATTCTGAAAGATTTTAGAGTATGAACTTTGTTCTTACAGAGAAAGGGATTGATTGTTGATGCTTGGGCTTGTGCCTCAGGCCCAACAATTTCTTTGCTTATTATTTCCTTCTGCCTCAAACAACATGAAATTGTATGTTTTGAAGATGGCTTAAAAATCTAAGTTGAATGTGATTACTTAATTTTTGCTTAATCTTGGGTTTTCAAAATGGCTATACTAGTAGTTATTGAATCGGAAGGCCAACTGGACGTCCACACATGCTTCATTGTATCAATAATTATTATCTACATTGATGTTTCCTGCCTTTGCAGGGACTCGATCTTGAGTCCCAGCACCAGTCATTTGGATTTCATCTCAAGTCCATCAATATCATCAGCAGCTTTTGAGGTTCTGCAAGTTGTTGGGCTCATGTTGGGGCCCGGACTGGGCAACCTATTGTCAATTGGACCGTCAGTTTATTTTGGGGGGCTGAACTAGACCCATTTGTTTTAAATAAGTTAACAAATCTCTTGTAAGCTATTTAGAGAAACATTAGTTAGTTTAGAGACCTTTGAAGAAGAACAATTTGAGGCACGCCATGTTGAACAAGAATGATGACTGCGTGGCCTTCGTATTAATTTTCAACTTAATCTTAGAATTTGAGGTGTGCCATTTAGCAAATTTCCATGGCCCTCACAAAGTTAATACCGCGTAGTTGCTTTAGGCACGTTAGTTTAATAATTTACCTTCCTAAACTCGGGTGCGCATTTATGTGACCCAAATCCAAATCTCAACAATGTTATATAATGTGTTGCGGACTATGGGTGCATTTATGTGACGTGGTTCAAGACATATTTTAAATGACGTTGCAAACTTCCTAAAAATGAATAGAAGCGGCTATAAAGTTAAAATCGAACCATAGGCTAAAACATGTACTAAAATCAGATAATATGCCAATTGTAACAGTTAAGCGACCGTGCTAGAACCACGGAACTCGGGAATGGCTAACACCTTCTCCCGGGTTAACAGAACTCCTTACCCGGATTTTTGTGTTCGTGGAATGTAATACAGAGTCAAATTTTCTCGATTCGGGATTTAAACCGGTGACTTGGGACACCACAAATCTCCCAACTGGTGACTCTGAATTTAATAAATAAATAATCCCGTTTCAATTGTCACTTTAATTGGTCAAACTTCCCTTATACACCCTCTCGGGGTGTAGTAAAAAAGGAGGTGTGACACCTCCAAAGAGTATGACCACCCAGAAAGGAAAGTCCGTGGCTGGTGAGTCTACTAGTCGAGTGCCACGAGTTACCAGGGATGGGGGAGAGTCTCATGGTGAGGTTCCATCTCAGACTTCACATACTCCACCCTTTTCCAGAAGAGCTCTGAGGGGCACCAGCTCCAGCGCCTGCCCCTGTACATTCAGCACCTCAGCCAGATACACCAGGTCAGGAGATGAGAAATGTTATTCAGTTATTGACCCGATTAGTAGCCGCACAGGCTCGGCATCAGGAAATAGGTATTGGTTATTCAGATAGGTCCGTCAGTGCGATGGTTCGTGACTTCATTAATTTAGACCCTCCAGTATTCACTAGAGCACATCCAAACGAGGACCCTTAAGTATTTATTGATAGTGTGCAGAGGACGTTAAGGGTAATGAAGGCCACTACGACTGAGTCAGTTGATCTAGCTTCCTATAGACTCCGAGATATTACAGTTACTTGGTACGAATCTTGGGAATTATCTAGAGGTGAGGATGCCCCTCCAGCAGTATGGCAAGAGTTTACAGAAGCTTTTCTTCGTCATTATCTGCCACCAGAGCTTAGGCGAGCCAGAGTTGATAGGTTCTTGACCCTTCAACAGGGTAACCTGAGTGTTCGGGAGTACAGTCTTCAGTTTGATTTGTTGGCCAGGTATTCTCCCACTATTGTATCTAAGATGGAGGATCGAGTTCACCGGTTCGTGATGGAATTAGAGCCTCACTTGCTTAATGATTGTATGTCGGTCTCACTTCAGCTAGAAATTGATATTTCTCGATTCAGGCATACGCTCAAGGTGTAGATTAGCGTAAACAGAAACAGAGGGCCGATCTCGTATTCAGGCATACTTCTCGTATTCAGGCATACGCTCAATGGGTCTGATACCCTTTTGCCTTATCCATGCCCACATAATGTTTCAACATGTGCCCATTGACTCTGAATGTGCGAGAGTCATTTTCTGCAGCAATCTTTACGGCACCTGTGGGGTGAATTGCAACCACACGAAAAGGCCCTGACCATCGTGATTTCAATTTACCCGGAAATAACCTCAAACGTGAATTGTATAGCAATACTGTATCTCCAAGTTTAAAATTCCGTTCAATAATATTCCTATCATGTATCATCTTCATTCTCTCCTTATATAATCTTGTGCTCTCAAAAGCATGATATCTGAACTCGCCAAGCTCGTACAACTCTGTCACTCTACTTGTTCCTGCAGCTTTACTATCAAGATTCAACCGTCTTAACGCCCACCAAGCTTTATGCTCCAACTCTACTAGTAAATGACACGCCTTCCCAAATACCAAATTGTATGGTGACATGCCAATTGGAGTTTTGAAAGCGGTTTGATACGCCCAAAGTGCATCATCTAACTTTCTCGCCCAATCTGTTCATATTTTTTGACAACTTCGGTAAGAGATTTGGGTTTTCACTGATATTCTTGAAAAGCGAAACTATTTTCGAAAAATTGTGAAAAAGCTGAGCATTTTATCTCTAAGTTACTTCCTTATTTATATGCTCTATATTGTTATGAATTGTTGTTGGCTACTGGCGTTGGACCCGACCATGTTCCAGCTCGTCACTACTTTTAATCTAAGGTTAGATTTGTTACTCATTGAGTATATATGGTCGGTTGTACTCGCACTACACTTATGCACATTGCGTGCAGATCTCAGATACCGATGTTGTTGTGCATGGCGGCAGCAAGCATTAAAGATGTACCTGCAATCCAGACTTAGATGCCTTTTGTTTTGGGTAGCTTTGGAATTTTTAATCTGTTTATGTATATTTCAAACACATGATGCATTTATTTCATACCAGCTTTGTAAACTCTAATCTTAGAAGCTCATGATTTGTACTACCAATCCTTGGTGAGTGTATTAGAGTCAGTTACATATTAATTAAATTGGATTATTGTTATCCTAACGGGTGAGGTTAGGTGCCATCACGGCTAGTCGGATTTTGGGTCGTGGCATTACCTCCTTTATAACAAACTGTTAAATTTTCGCATCATGAAAATCAGGTTCCGAGTGACTTGATCATATCCCATAATCATGATTTTTTTTCATGCATAATTAAATAGATCAGGTTCCTAAAACTATTCTAGACACGTCTCTACTGCCCAATTAAAGCCGATTAGAATTACCTCATTTAAAATTATAACAACCCGGCCGGTCGTTTTGAGAGTTGTATCCTCGGCCCCATTTATTGCTTCTTTTATGCTTTACGGTTGTTATGTAACTTGCCGGGGTAGTTGGTTCAAGTTCGGAGAGGTTTCAGGATGAGTTTAGACATTTAGTCTCAAGGTTGAAAGTTTAAGTAGAAAAGGTTGATCAGATGTTGACTTGTGTGTAAACACCTCAGGAATGGAGTTTTGATGGTTCCGTGAGCTCCGTTGGTGGTTTTGGACTTAGGAGTGTTCGGATTGTGATTTGGAGGTCCGTAGTGGAACTAGGCTTAAAATGGCAAAAATTGAAAATTTAGAAGTTTGACTGAGAGTGGACTTTGTGGTTACCGAGCTCAGATTGGGGTTCCGGGAGTTGGAGTAGGTCTGTAGTGTCATTTATGATTTGTGTGCAAAATTTGAGGTCAATGAGACGTGATTTGATAGGTTTTGGGATCTAATATAGAAGTTAGAAGTCCAAATGTTTATTAGGCTTGAATCTATGCGCAATTTGTGGTTTTAGCATTGTTTGATATGATTTGAGGGTTCGACTAAGTTTGTATGATGTTTTAGGACTTGATGGTATATTTGGTTGAGGTCTCGGGGGCCTTGGGTGAGTTTTAGATGGTTAACGATCAATTTTTGGACTTGGGGATAGGCTGAAGTTTTCTGGTGTCTTTGATCTAGTTTCCTTATACGCGATCGTGTGGGAAGGTCCGCGATCACGTAGGCTTAGCTAGCAGTGGAGGACTTTGTTCTACGCGTTCGCGAGAAGGAGGTTGTGATCGCGTAGTTGTGGGATGCTGTGATTCGCGAACGCCTGGCTAAGGTCGCGTTCGCGTAGGGTATAGGAGGCAGGAGCTGGGGTCATGCATTTGTTCTTCCGCGATCGCGTGAAGAGGAACGCGATCGCGTTGGAAGAAGCAAGGGTTGGCGTTCACGTGGAGGTCTCCGCATTCTCATAAGGTAAGTTAGAGAGGCAAACTATTTTTTGCTACGCGAACACGGGAAGACGATCGCGTTCGTGATGAAGGATAACTGGGCAGCAATGTTAAATTTCAAAAATGAGGGTTTGATTTCATAACACAAAATTGATTTTGAGAGCTCGGTGGAAGGCGATTCTTGGAGAGATTTTCAAGTGGGTGATTGGGATAAGTGATTCATACCTAGTTTTGGTTAATTTTCATGATTATGTCTTTGATTTCATCATTAAATTAGTGATTTAGGGTGGAAAATTGGAAAAATGGGGGAAAGTTCTTAGGTCGAATTTTGAGGTTTTGATCGAGATTTTGGTATCGGATTTGAGTAATTTTGGTATGGGTGGACTCGAGGTCAAATGAGTGTTCGGATTTTGTGACTTTTACCCGATTATGAGTCGTGGGCGAACTTTTGAGGTGATATGACTTTTGATTAAGAGCTTAGTATTTTCTTATGGAATTGATTCCTTTCGCTCGTGTTGATTGTATCGAATTGTTTGTGACTAGATTCGAGGCATTCAGAGGCCGTTTCGCAAGTCAAAGGTGTGTTGGAGTAGAGATTTGCACGGCTTGAGGTAAGTAACAGTTCTAAATTTGGTTATGAGGGTATAGAGCCACATACTACGTGTCATGTGATTGGTGTTGAGGTGATGCACATGCTAGGTGACGGGCGTATGGGCGTGCACCGTAGGAATTGTGACTTGGTCAATTCGATGAAATTGTATAGTTGAATAATTTATTGTTATCCGTATATTCTCCATGTGATATCGAAATTGAGCTGCAAATCATGTTAGAAATAATTTTTAGGCTATGTTTTGGTACTGTATGGACCCATAGAGGTCGTGTTACATGTTGAATTATCAACTAAATTGTTGTTTTGTACTCAATCACAGTTTTACTTGTATATTATATCTCAGTCTCTATTATTCTTTATTGATACATTATATCATTGCTATTTTGGCTGAATATCATGATTATTGAGAGCCCGAGAGACTGGGGAGAGTGATGACTGAGTGAGGCCAAGGGCCTAATTGTGAGGATATTTATGAGATCAGGCTGCACGTCGCAACATGTTTTACTTATTTATGCCATGATTGGCTTATTATAACGCTTGTGCTGAAGGAGCCCCTTCAGAGTCTGTACAACCCCCAGTGAGCGAAGGTACCTACTGAGTGCGAGTATCGAGTATTGAGCGCGAGTGCTGAACGACTAGGAGAAATGAGTGAATGTGAGGTTGGAGTGAATGGGAGGACTCAGTAACTGTTGCTCTGAGATTATGCACTTGATTTCATTACTATTGTACTTCGACTGGCATACATCACTGTCATGTAATTTTTGAGAGATATTATATCCTATTTCAATTGGACTTGATATGAATTAACTGTTTTGGCCTTAATTGTCGAACTTGAAAGCATGCCAATCTTCCTATATGTAATTTCTGTATTTGAACTGTACCTGTGAAGCTCGTCACTACTTTCAGTCCATTATTTAGTCTTGTTACTTACTGAGTTGGTAGTACTCACGCTACACCCTAAACTTCGTGTGTAGATCCAGGTATTTTTAGACACGGTGGGTGTTGATTCTTTGCGCAGCTTGATCACTACTATATTTCAAGGTAGTTGCCCGACGTTCACACACCTTGACTCCCTTTCCCTAACTTTCAACTTTATGTATTTAGTTCCATTTTTTCATAGATAATATTTTCATACTTGTGTTGCATAGATGCTCATATACTCAGTGACACCCTGATTTTGGGGACTTCCGTTGAGTTTTGGTTTTCTATCCAATTTATGAGAACTTTGATTATTTAAACTATTTAAGCTTATTTTTCATTTAAAAGTGTTAGAAATATTTTGAAGTGTCGGTTTGCATAGTACCAAATTAGGTACCATCACAGCAGGCTAAGTTCTGGATCGTGACAAAAATTTGAACATTGGGCGTTATTATTTCCCACTTTGAATTGGATTAGAAGTTATTGCCTTGACTGATTAGGACTCAAACTGTCACTTATTTAAATTCCTACTCTTAATTACCTTCCATAATCTCCTATCTCTCTACGAATCTCCGAATTAGAAACAAAAGCAAACAACTCCAAACCCCAATTCTCTCTAAGAAATCTAAAAATCTTAATAATGTCGGCCTCATAAATTTTCCCACATCTAATTTCTTGGAGTCTGAAATCACTCAAACAGTCAACGCCCCTTTTTGCCTCACCAACTCAATTGAGTCAAACCAAAACCTCACTCAAGAAACACAAAAATTATTAACGGACTAGTCATTTACTTTAATAAATAAAGTGAAAAATATGAACATACAAGTCAAATAGTGGAGGAATCTGATTGGCGGGGGGAGGGGGGACGATGAAAGGTGAGAAGGAGAAGGAGAAAATAGGGAAAAATCGAGTAGTGATGTTAGAGTTGTCGTTGCTTATATGACTACTTTGAGAAAACTTTAGAGGAGAATAAGAAAAAGAGAAAGGAACGACACGAGTTGTAGTTGAGGAATAGGTCTGAGGTAGAATAAGTTAACTTGGTCAGTGAGGAAGAAGAGGAAGATGAAGAGATTACTCTTCAAAGAAAAGGGAAAAAAAGGACGGATTATCTTCAACCACACCAAAAAAGAGGACTTGTAAAAAAGAAGAAGTGGACTCACAGGTCAAAAGAATCAACTCCAAACATCAGAAGAAAACTAAGAAAAATATTATTGTTGTAGGCAAAGTGCGCTGGTTCAGTGGCCTGGTGATATTGAAGGGTGATAGACCTTGCTACTTCTGAGATATTAAGAATGAAAGAACTGTTGGAGAAGCTTGAGTGCCAAAAGTGGACGCACTTGTTTCTATGCCCACTCCCTATGATATATGGCAAAGCAATATTGCATTTCTATAAGAATTTTAAATTGCTTAAGGAAGGTACAATGATTACTAAGGTGAGAGGAATGGACTTGGTTCTTAATGCTGCGTTCGTAGAAGAATTCTTGAGGGTGCACGTGAATGAGTTTGATACATATGTTCAACGAGAATAGCTCAAATTAGGGGAGGAAGAGGATGATGTATATTTGACCTCGAAGAATATATAGGGAAATGGGAAGTTGAAACCAAGGAAGCTAGGTAAAAATAAAATAAAATCGATTCACAAGCTCCTATTCGAATTTGTAAATAAGTGTGTGCTATCTCGCTCTAAAATAAGAATGAGGCTACTTACCTATATTTTACAATAATGAAAGTGTTTGACCAAAATAGTATCCTTAACTTTTCCTCTATAATTATCAAATATATGACAACTAATCAAGTACGAGGCACACATGCTTTGCCATATGAGTTTCTTGTTGACTAGGGTGGTTGAATATTTTAAGGTCCATTAGTAAGAACCAAAGAAGTGGACAAAGGAGCACATGCTTGATGAAGAGACCTTGAGAGATTATGACTACATTTAGATACCATTGAGTATAAAAAGTAAAAACATAGTCACAAATTTATTGGCAGAATTGGTTGCTACCAAATAAGGGATGGAGAAACTGTGTGCTGAAGGTGCTTCCTTGAAAGAGGAAAATAGGCAGCTGAAAGAAGAGATGAAAAAAGAGCAGGTTATTGCTACTGCACATTTTGATAGGCTCTTAGGGCTCATAGTGAAAAGTCTTCTTCCAGCAAAGAATCTAGTACTTCGTCCTCGTGGGTGTCCCTGTCTAATTCCTAGATTAAACGCTTGAGATTTTAATATGTACATGTTAATATAGCCCAAGTGGCCATGAGTTTGATATTGCTTAATTCTCATTTTTAACTGATGCTTTACATTTTCGATGATGCCAAAAAGGGATAATGTTGAAAGTTTATCTTTTTTGCTGGAATTAAAATGCCATATGCTTAGTCATCTATAGAGTTGCATTGAATGGAAATCTAGTCCCTTATATATGTGCAACCATGAATAATTTGAAGAAGATTGTTGATAGTAAAGCTAGTTATTAGGCTGAAGACAACAAATAAATTGAGTAATGTTAGATGAGATGCATATGAATTTGTCATCATAAAAAGGAAAAAATTTATTGAGTTGAGCATATTCTATTATGGTTGTGTTTTAATGATTGACAAACTATGATCAACTATATTGAAAGAAATTGATTTTATGGACAAGATACTATATTACTAAATTGGTGCGCATATATGATATGCAGGTGCCAGAAAAATCAGGTTCTTGATGAATAACATTGAATGCTGATCAAGTGTGAGAAGATAGAATATGCGTGCAGGTTGTATTCGAGAAAAAAATTAGTTCATGTATATAAAAAAAGATCTTAGCTGGAGCAATTCATGTGATAAAAGGGTTTCAACAAATAAGGAATAATTTGCATGGAAAAAAAAAAGGTTGAGGAGGTAAAAATAAAGAGTAAATTAAATTAACAGAAGATTTCGTTAACCAAGTTATTCTAGGTTTTGGAGCATTAATTGGAGAAAAATTTCGGCCACCCTTATACCTAAATAAAGAGACTTCTTGCAGCCGTATACAACCAATAGTATTCACACAAGTGAAGTATTTACTCTTGGCAACAACAATCACTGAAAGAAGGTGCTTTCAAAGGATTTTAACTCCTCAAGTAAAGAACCTATTTCCGAAACTGCCTAGTTTTTTAGTTGTTAGGTTGAGCCTATTGTTCTCGAATTATAACCTATTTGCTTTTGAGAAGTATAATCATAGGTTAACACAAAAATATTGTAAATTTTTATTCCATTTCCATGCTAGAGTTAATTTAGAAATGGGTCACTATGATTGAGTTGAATTTAGGGTTAGGGTGCTAGAGTTAGTCTCGTGAGTTATCGAGTTGTAATCTAAAATCGCTCTTTGAAATTAGTGAAGTTTAAAGGCAAATTCTATCAGGGTAGGTCATGATTTTTACTCCCTTCAACAATGAGGGTTTTCATGTAAAAATCGTTGTGTCCTTTGTGTTCAATATTTACTAGTTGTTTGTGTCTTTTGGGTATATCAAATAACTTAGTTCTTTAATTTGTAAAAATCGGATGAAACACAATTCACTTTCTTTTTGTGTTACGGTGTAACCCTAAAATAACATAATTCATCAAACTGATAATGATGATTCCAAACTAGCTACTTGATTTACAACATTATTGTGTCCATTTACTTTTGAACTAAATATTGTACTAAAAACATATCCTGTAAGAAAGATTAGTGATGTATTATTATGAACTAAATATTGTACTGAAAATCATAACATAATTGCAAATTCTATAAGAAATATTAGTGATGTATTATTATGAAGTTTCAATGCATTAATATAACTGAACTGAAGTTAATTTGATGAAATTTTTATATTAATTCTGCTCAATTGAACTAATTTCATCCAAATATTAATAACTCATCATTTAAGACAAAAAGAAGATTCTCTAAAATTAGAAATTCAATAATAACATTTATACTCATTTCTACTTTAATAATCTACTCATTAGAAAGTAGACAAAGCCACTTGCCCTTACAAATCCCCAATTACTAATCTACTTTAATTAATTTGTATTGCGATTACAACCTTAACTAGATTTGCATGCATGTTGAGATAATCTATACTCTTTATATATAATCTGTCATTTAACACTTTTAATCATCATTATGTTATACATATATATCATCTCAAATGTAAAACCCACACATTCAAGTTAACATATTCACTAGCACAAATACATATATAAAATCTCTATATATGCATTTGTTAGTAATTATCTCTTATTTTTTCTTCTCCATTGTCTTCTCTAAGGTATTATATATTAGGTCATATTTTTTGAGATATTTGATAAAATTAAAAGAATATAAAAAGATTAATATTATTATTGCACAAGGACAATACACATAGAAGTAAGAGTGTCAACAGATCTTTAAAAATCAACTAGATCATACTGAATTGATTATTAGGTTTCTTTTAATAAAATTATAGGTTTTTATATAAATCTATAATCATATCGAAAAATTAGGGTAGATTTTTCATTTTATAAAAATATATATTTTTTGAACAGTACCAAATTAATTAATATGTGAAAAAATATATTTTATATCTTAAGTGTAAAAATAGAAACACATTAAATGTTTCCATGGGGCTTGTAATTATAGAAATGGATATAAGGTAACATGTAATTAACATCTAAAACCCTAAGTTTCAAATACATTCTGTTATTTATATTGAAATTAAATTAGTTCTAGCATCTTGCGTAGCAAACCACAAAGTATTCCAACAATATTAAGTAACAAATCATGATGTATTGATTACCGTTCCTCTGGTGTAATTTAAAATTTTCTTGTTTAGAATCTTAATCTTCTAATATTTGTTTTTGAATTCCAAATTGATTAATATCGTTTAACTCGTTTGATTTATATTCTCTTATCTTTACTTAATTACCCCTACACAAAAGTCATAGGATAGGCCTCGTTAGGGTTAGTTACGTTATTTTAACAAGGTTATAGGTCTTTTATAAGGCCGGACTATATATGCTCGGTTGGATATTTCAGTAATTGACAGTTCTTACATGCAAACCCTAAAAACGTCCTCCATTTGGCAATATTTGTTCTGATATTTTCTGCAGTTTTTTGGTTCTTTATAGATCACAACGAAGTGCCTCTACTGGTGTTATACTTATGTTATCCTGCTCGTGAAGTCTAAAGCAACACCAGAAAGACTTCATTTTCCCCCAAAACACTGTAATTTACTTGCTCCATTTTCATTACTTCTTTGTGTTTTTTTATCCATTAACAAGATCAGTTATTTTATCCAGTTCTTGAATCTTGCACCTAGTGTATTTTGATAAAAAGCTGATTTCATGTTTTTGCCCTTTTTAATCGTTGAATGTATTAATTTTCTTAAATAGGAGTACTTTTTTTTTGTTGGTTTATTGATAATTTTAATGAAGAGAAGAGATTTTTGGGCGAGTGGAAATTGCTTCTGGGTTTGGGTTTTCTTGTAAAGTTGGTTTCTTCGAAGGAAATTATGGAGTGCTAGAGA